GGCTCAATAATATTGCGTACACTACTAAGTGGTGCTCGGGAGGCACAAACACGAGAGAGCCAGACAGGCTTTAGACCAGGAAGAGGGTGTATTGATCATACCTTCACCCTTCGACAGATTCTAGAACATAGTCATTCCTACCGGCGTCCAACAGTCATTATATTTCTTGACCTAAAGGCGGAATTCGATTCTGTCGATTGAGAGGTTCTCTGGCGTTGCTTGGCCGTAAAGGGAATGGCGAGAAAATACATTGCACTGATCAAGGCACTCTACTCGTACTCATGCAGCCAGATGAGGGCTTACGGCGAGTTGTCATCTGAAGTGGTGACAACTAGTGGTGTCCGTCAAGTATGCTCATTATCCCCTTTTCTATTCAATTTCATCGTAGATGTATTTATTGACCCTAAGTGACTTCAGCGACTCAGGGATTGACTTGCAACCAGGGACTAATCTCGTTGACTTGGAATATGCAGATGATATAGTCCTTCTAGGCGAGGACGCTAACAAGATGCAGAGTTTTCTAAACACCTTGAGCTGCAATCTACGAATGTTTGGCATGCGATTCGCTCCCGCTAAATGCAAGATGACGTTAAAGGACTGGACTACACCGACTCCTAGATTAGAAATAGGGAGTGAAGTGGTAGAGCACGTTGTCCGCTTCACTTACTTGGGAAGTACCATCAGCCCCAACGGGTTGATCTCTGACGAAATCTCAGCACGGATACAGAGGGCTAGTTTCGCATATGCCAGTTTACGCCGTCTCTGGCGTAGACGAGATGTTCGACTATCGACCAAAGGGCGGGTGTACTGCTCATCAGTCCGCTCCGTCCTCCTTTAAGGTTGTGAGACCTGGCCACTGAGAGTGGAAGACATGAAAAGATTAGCTGTCTTTGATCATAGGTGCCTGCGCTCTATTTCCCGTGTAAAGTGGCATAATAAGGTGAGCAACATTGAAGTTAGGCGTCGAGTGCTAGGTAAACAGGGGGAATCAATCGACGAAGTTGTGAAGTTACAAAGACTGAGATGGTTAGGACATGTGTTGCGTATGCCAAGCCATCGCCTCCCTCGACTAGCTATGTTAGCGGATATAGGGTCAGGCTGGAAAAAAGCTAGCGGCGGTCAAACAAAAACATGGCACCAGTCCATGAAATCCACAACAGTTGGTCTAAGCCACATAGGAAGGTGTAGACTTCCTGGTTGGGGTCCTCAGGACGGTAAAAACCAGTGGTTGGAAACAATTGGTGACATGGCTCAAAATTGTTCTCAGTGGCGCAGATGCATCCATTCCTTGTGATTTATGATTTCCAATGAAACGTTTTTGTTCTTCGTTATTACTCCTTTGTCTCACACCCTGCTTACTGTCTCTATTATGCTTTTCTTGTACTTTTTTCTCTTGCTTTGTGTGCCACATGGAGTGTGGCGACTTCAACTGCTGCACATTTGTGTAAAGTTCTATGTCGAAAAGAGAGACAGACAGTAAAGTGTCTCCACCGTAATTAAATATCTCATTCGATCAGGTCCTGTTTCTTTGCCTTGTTTCAGATTAGTGACAGCTTCAGTAACCTCACTTAGGGACGGAGGACCTGTGTCTATATCCCATTCAGGGAGGTGTTGGATGTTGGGCAGGTCGAGTTACCAAACTTACCTTCATATTAGTCAATGATTTTATGTATACGGAAGATTTCACGTCAGTTTAAGCATATACACAAATGTGCACACAACTCAACAGTTAAGCACCAATTTGAGCCATATATATATATATATATATATATATATATATATATATATATATATATGTATATATATATAGTTAGTTAGGAGGAATGAAAAAATGTACTCGTAAGTCCATGACATTATCCGATAGAGATGTAAAAGATAGAAAATGTAAGAAAGCTTTGCAAAAGAGAATGTACATTTCTCATGAATGCAGACCTACGTTAAAGTTACAAAAAAAAGAAATTAAAAAGGCTTCGGAATTCACAGATAATGAAAACACATCTGTTGCTCAGTGCGAATAGGATTGCTGTTGAAGCAACACGAATATACGCATAATGCATAGACTATATAACCGCGTTCGTAACAAGAGCGAGTGTTATCAAGTAAGCACCATAATTAGTAACTCAGCATACATAATAATCTAGATTTTAAAATTGATGCATGCTTTATTTTAATGGACAACTATCCCCATGACTATACTGAAAGAAAAATTTCTGATGTTGGAAAAAGTTATTTGATGACACTGAGAACATTGTTGCCATCAGTTAGTCAGTGTTGTATATTGTGTAAAACTGGTATAAGTTACTCCAAGAAAAATTACAGTAGATTAACTGATCTGCATACGTTTTTAGGGGTTTACTTAAGACTGTGTTGGTAGTTGACTAGCAAGCAATCAACGAACCCCATTCCAAATGAGTGTTTTGGACAGCCAAGGGGTATTGTTACACATAGTAAAACAAGTGTGACTCAATATCTAAAGGATGTAGAAGCATTCGGCTTTTGAATAACGGCAAAAATACAACCGCAGTGACTTTATGAAGTGTTAAACTCGAAGTCTTATCCTTTGGTTCGCAGTCTGCTTCAGACTAGTACAAAGGGAAATAAGAATCCACTTAAATCTTTCATCACCAATTACGTGAGGTCTTCGAGGGAAAACAGGAAAATTCAGATGTCTCCATAATAACAACCTGAAATTTGCAATATGGTGGAGTGCCTCGTAACCTTTAGTACTAAACTTTCAGTCAGTATGTCATGGAATCTAATCACCCTCTACCTACCTTTGGCCTGGCTACTATATGGTATCAGTCATCAAGCAGTGACTAAGTGTGTAGCTGGCTGGTGAGTTCTCGAATTTAACGACAACTATTTGTAAAATGAGACGTTTTACCCAAGCACTGAGAATATCACGCAAAATACTTGACGACCATAGTTATTTCGGAGTTATCATAAAAATTGTAAAAAGACAAGTTAATACGTTTTTTGGAAGCAAGCAAAAAAGAGTATGTTCCATAAATCATAATATTAGCAACTAACACTTCTTACTACATGTATCAAAATGAAGTGCATACTCTGATCTATTAGTTCTCTGAGAAAACTGATTACTTTTAATGATTAGATATCTCTTCGTACAGGGATGGATCATGATGTCTACTTAGGACAATATTTTATCTACCCGAGTAGTATTTATAAGGAATTTTATGTTATGTGAGATCACTTTCATTTGTTAGGAGTGAGAAGGAATGAACACATTACATAAGTTCAACCCATAGTTTCAAAATGAACCTAGCTTTATTAAGAAGTAATCGAAAAACAAATCGTACTGAGCGAGAAGATAAACAGTTCTGTTAATAAGGAGACTGGTACAATAATCATGGTATTAACATAACTTTGGCATAACACTGTTATGCACAAAAACAACCACAGTACGGAAGGTTTCAAAAATTGTCAGTCGGATGAAAACTACAAAAATTGACCCAAATTTTGAATGTAAGAATCAGACACTCGAAGGACCATAAGCACACTAACCGCACCTGATATATTTACATCAATCAAGACCTATAAAAGTAGAGACGCGCTGAGGATCAGTAAATTCTCACATTTAGATAGCCGACTTGTTTTAAATTGGAGTTCTATGCTAACTACAGTATGGACAAGGCGGATATCCGATACTAACATGGCGTTGTATAGCTAAGAGTGAATTTTGTCAAAATCTCCAAAGACGACACACATCTACTCTGGTTGCTACACCCCTTTCTTTTAACTCCTTTACGTTCCCAGTGGAACATAGAGCTTCAAGCTAGAGGCTTGAAGTTTTTGTAGCAGTGTTTATTTTTACAGGATGGGGTCGGTAGCCTCATGCCCAAACTTTCCTCTTCACCAGTCTTATTTCTGGCTTAGCGAGGTAAAAGAGTATGTCAGCTAGGAATCGAACTCCGGACTATGTGCTTAGTCGGCGAGCGTCCTAACCGCTGTGCCACCGACGCATGCTACAGCTCTTAACAGAAAAAGACTTATGTAGACAGGAAGATATTTTGAGAAAAGTGATATCAACTGACACGAAACCACTACACACTGAGATGTGGAGCATTCATTTGGAAAATCCAGTCAACCACTAGTCATATTTCGGTAGTCGTCTAATTGCTGATAAACAATAAAGTAGAACCGCATCTATAAATGATTCACACCTACATAAGAACCAGTAGTACTAGCAATATATAACTGCTGTGTACTAGTACACGAACATTTATTCAAAGTATTGAATAAGTACTAATAGTCCTATTGCTAAAACCTCATTACATGTGAGCGGTTTAAAAGATTTTCCATAACGATGAACGCTCTGAATTTAACAGTCCCAATCATATGAAAAAACTTAAGATATTTTTTGTGTGCGAGAGATGTCAGTTCAAAACGAAAACCCGGAGTCAAACAAGGTCTTGCGAATTTTGACCTCAATCCGAAACTTTATACCTATACCTGTGAATTTATGGAATTTCTGTAGCTAATATACATTATAAATAACAATAGGAGGACGAGAAATAGACTTTCGATTTCATCGATATATAATAAACACGTGGGTTCATCTGAGTTGACCCAAGCAATTATTGTTCACACATCATATTACGAAATATGCGACTTAACAAAGTTAGACTCAGCACCTCAAACCCTGACTAAGTCAGAAAATGTAATGATCTATTTACTAGTGTAAGACTGCATACAACAAAACCGGAAGATATATGAACCTCTTGTAATGCACCAACACCCACCAAGAATATGGAATGAAGACACCAATGTTTAGTTTTTTGCAGACCTATAAGGCACGAACTTGTGAATGGATCCAATAGGCAGTAAAAATTACTGAACAGACAATCACTGAAGACAAGTTATAAGGTCAAACGGAATAAGTACTAAGTGATAATAAGGCATCATTTGAATGATACTTTGGGAAAGTTGTGATCGCAAATTGCAAATGACGTGAATCAAAGCTAAATGAGAGCCAACCTTACCTTCTGAAACCAAAGAGTGACGATATCACCCGCCAATTTGAAAGAGCGCTGCTGGGATACGAGTAAAAACAAAACAATAATGATGCACTTAGCCACATGTGTGCGTCAGAAACACAGCATTAAAGTGCTCGCCGACTATGCACATAGCCCGGAGTTCGATCTCCGGCTGACTCACTCTTTTACCTCGCTAAGCCAGAAACAAGACTGGTGCGTCGGTGGCACAGCGGTTAGGACTCTCGCCGACCATGCAAATGGTTCGGGGTTCGATCCCCTACCGGCTCACACCCGATATCAGTTGATTGGCCTGCAAAATTTGAGCTACAGATATCACATGCTGAAAATTCCATACTTGTACCAAAAATACGGTGGGGAATCAGGCTATAATCAAAACAAGAGGAAAGTTTGGGCATGAGGCTACCGACCCCATCCTGTAAAAATAAACACTGCTACAAAAACTTCAAGCCTCTAGCTTGAAGCTCTATGTTCCACTGGGAACGTAAAGGAGTTAAAAGAAAGGGGTGTAGCAACCAGAGTAGATGTGTGTCGTCTTTGGAGATTTTGACAAAATTCACTCTTAGCTATACAACGCCATGTTAGTATCGGATATCCGCCTTGTCCATACTGTAGTTAGCATAGAACTCCAATTTAAAACAAGTCGGCTATCTAAATGTGAGAATTTACTGATCCTCAGCGCGTCTCTACTTTTATAGGTCTTGACTGATGTAAATATATCACATAGTAGTCCAATTTTTATACAGATTCCTTTGAGATCTATAATCGAGATATGGCTATGAAGCTATATTTACTGACGTATACCAACAAGGATTCCGAATCACGCCAAACAATTATCGAACGGAAAGTTTCACGACTCTTGATATGATGTCAGATATCATGAAATATTTTACGTCTGAACGTGAAATTAACAAGAGACGTTGTTGCTGCAGTAATTGTCGTTGCTAGTGTAGCGGTAAATAATTCCCCAAAATTATTGACCACAGCAATCACTCATTGGATGCTGACCACCACTGTTTAAGTCGACTTGTTTAGCTGAAGGCTTCCGGTCAAGCATCCCCGCCATTTGGTACCCCGTCGTGTCACGTGCACGATCACTAGCTAGCTAAGCGTTCGTCTATCGGCTGGTTTTGGTTCCTAAATACATTTCTTCGTTTGGACGATCAATTGTTGGCTTTTGCTTTGTCTTTGGTACGCGAGAATAAATTAATTAGAAGTTGTTGAACGAGATATCACGTCAAACCTTTAATATCCGTCAACCCTTAAACTGGTGAGCCCGACCGCGAACTTTATCCACGAAAAATCCGCAGATAACCCCGGTGAGTTCGTTCCATTTTGTATTTGTTCTTGTACCATATATTATTCGACATAATTTTCGTCATGAGTGATCTTAGTCCCAAGGTCATCCGTATCCGCTCAACTCCTAAAACCATTCAGCTCGTACCATACTGGCCAGATAATGCTGAAACGTGGTTTCTGCTAGCTGAAGCAGATTTTTGTGAGCATGGGATAACTGATCAACGTTCACAGTTACTTGCAGTTATTCACGCCCTACCGCGGGAATTCAGCAAGTACGTAACATCACAGATGTTGAGTCCCGAGGTAAGTAACTCGTACGAGTTGCTGAAAGCATCCCTCCTCAGGAGAAACGCTCTCACGGACAGACAACGTCTAGATGAATTATTTCGCAACATCGAGTTAGGAGATCAGTCAGCCGTGAGCATGCTGACAAGAATGAAACAAGTCGTCGGCCAATGTCAGTTCGACGAAGGACTGTTTAGAGAACTCTTCTTAACCAAGTTGCCACAATCTGTACAGACCGTACTTGTGACACTTGAGGGTACTGTAATAGAGAACTTAGCTATTACTGCAGATAAGATCCTAGAAATAACTAAACGGTCTGTCCCCGAAATATGCTCAATGACTAAGCAGACTTCGAGTGAGGATCCTGCAATGACAGAGTTATGCAACTCCCTTCAGCAGATGTTTAGGTCAAACACGCATTCTAAATCCTCCAACCGTCGTCCTAAATCTCCTCAACGCAGGAACTCGCGTGGTCGATCTAAGTCCAAACCACGTTCACTGAAAAACCCTGACTGGTGCTGGTACCACAACACCTATGGCCAAGAAGCGAAGTGTTGCCGTAAGCCTTGTAACTTCGGAAATGTCTCAAAGTCTGCGGGAAACTATCCCGCCGGCACGCGTTAGCGGCAACCGTCGCCGGTGGCACTAGCCGCCTACTTTACATCCATGATGTGATAAGCCAGACTCGATACTTAGTCGACACAGGCGCCGAAGTCAGCGTCCTTCCTGCTACAGCAGCAGATCGACAGAAGGAACCTACCTTCAACTTACAGGCTGCAAATGGAAAACCAATCGCAACCTTTGGTAGGAAATACGTCTATCTGAACGTAGGTTTACGCAAACCTATTCGGTGGATTTTCCTTCTCGCTGACGTTACAATGCCCATCATTGGCACGGACCTACTTAATCATCATGATTTACTCGTAGACGTCCGCCGAAAACGACTGATTGACAATACTACTAGTCTGTCTATCAAAGGCATCACCTACATAGGCCCTAGCTTGTCACCCGTTAAGATAAAGGCAATTCTTGATCCAACTTTTCAACCTATCGTTGACAAGTATCCGGAACTTAACTGCCCGTCGAACGACCTACCGTGCATAACCAGCAATGTTATGCACCACATCATTACCACAGGACAACCTGTGACATCTAAAGCACGACGATTAGCTCCTGACAAACTGAGAATCGCCAGGAATGAATTTGACCATATGCTTACCCTTGGCATCATTCGACCTTCGAATAGCCCATGGGCATCCCCACTTCATATGGTTCCGAAAAAGGATAGCAACGATTGGCGACCCACCGGTGATTACCGGCGAGTGAATGCCAAAACAACCCCTGATTGCTACCCGTTGCCTCATATACACGACTTGACGGCAACCTTATCCGGCGCGACTATATTCTCCAAAATCGACTTGGTTAAAGCGTATAACCAAATCCCGATGGCAACAGAAGACATCCCGAAAACGGCTATCATTACGCCTTTCGGACTTTTTGAATTTCTACGTATGCCATTCGGTCTCCGGAATGCAGCCCAAACATTCCAACGCTTCATTGACGAAGTATTTCGCGGTCTCGACTTTGTATACGCATACTTAGACGACTGCCTCATTGCCAGTCCAGACAAGGAAACTCACCTTAGGCACTTGGACTTGGCATTTGACAGGTTACGCCAACATGGTGTTACCATTAATATTCAAAAATGTCAAATCGGTGTTGACTCACTCGACTTTCTGGGTCACACTATTGACTGCAAGGGCATTCGCCCACTGGCTACTAAGGTCGAGGCTATACTGAACTTTCCAGAGCCACAGACGGTGAAAAGTCTCCGCACTTTTAACGGCTTAGTAAGTTATTATCGACGCTTTATTCCCAACTGTGCCTCTTTGATTCAGCCATTGACAGACCTCCTTCGAGGGAATAACAAGTCCATAGAACTTGACGCGTCTGCTCGAAATGCTTTTACCCAGATTAAAAAAGCTATTGCGAATGCCACACTTCTGATGTATCAGGATCCAACGGCACCGTTAAGTATCTCGGTTGATGCATCAAACACTGCAATCGGCGCAGTTCTACAACAGCTAGTTGACAATGAGTGGCAACCACTTGCCTTTTTCTCCCGGCGCCTTCAATTAGCTGAAACGAAGTACAGCACATTCGGCAGAGAACTTCTGGCTATGTACTGTGCTATACGACATTTTAGACATTCGGTAGAGGGTCGTGAATTTATAATTTTTACGGATCACAAACCTCTGACGTACTCTCTGAACTCACCTTCAGATAAGTATTCACCCAGGGAATCACGACAACTGGATTACGTCTCACAGTTTACATCAGATATTCGCCATGTATCCGGAGTAAACAACACTGTGGCAGATGCCTTGTCGCGCGTTTGTTCTTTCACCCAAATCGACGGCATAGACCTAGTAAAACTGGCTCGTCTTCAAAAAGAAGATGCCGAACTTCAACATGAGTTGTCGAAAACAACTCTACAATTAGCTGAGAAACCCTTAGGTATGGGAAGAGATACTATTCTGTGCGACATTTCCACGAGTACTCCTCGCCCCATCGTGCCTAAAAGTTATCGCCGTAACGTCTTCAATACGTTGCATGGCTTATCTCACCCAGGTATTCGAACTACTGTCAAGCTCGTAACTAGTCGGTTTTGTTGGCCTGGCATTAATAAAGAAGTAAGGGAATGGGCACAAACGTGCTTAGCTTGTCAAAAGTGCAAGGTGATAAGACACACCAAAAGCCCACTTGGCACCTTTCTTCTCCCTGACGCTCGTTTCGAACACGTCCATATAGATTTGGTTGGTCCCCTTCCTGAATCACATGGATATACTTATATTTTAACTTGCATAGATCGCTTCACACGATGGCCGGAAGCAGTACCCATCAAGGATGTATCTGCTGAAACAGTCGCACGCGTCTTCGTAGAAAGATGGATCGCTAACTTTGGATGCCCATCTTCCATAACAACTGATCGCGGGCGGCAATTCGAAAGTGGCTTATTCTTTGCCCTGACTAAAATCATAGGTTGCATGCGATTTCGAACAACAGCCTACCATCCTCAAGCTAATGGTATGGTAGAACGTCTACACAGACAGCTGAAAGCTGGTCTGTCAGCTGCAAACACCACCCATTGGACTGAATCCCTCCGTTAGTTCTCCTAGGGATACGAAACGCCTTGAAAACCGATGCTGGTTGTACTAGCGCCGAGCTAGTATATGGCACGACACTGCGACTGCCTGGTGAATTTGTTTCTCCCTCGAGCTTCCCACCAGTGGTAGATCACGCTTCATACGTCAGCAGGCTTACAAACGCAATGCGTTCAGTTAAACCTGCTCCCCTTCGTCCACAGTCCATTGATGTTTTCGTTCATCCGTGTTTGAAAACTTCTTCACATGTATTTGTTCGTCGCGACTCTGTGCGCAGACCCCTGGAACCCCCATATGACG